AAGTATTTTCTTGAGTAAGTTTTTGTACTTCCTTTTCCATTTGGTCAGTTTTGCTTTTGAAGGCATTCTTCTCCTCATTGGCTTTTTGGACCTCTTTTGCCATTTGGATTAGTCTGTTTTTAAGGTGTTATTTTCTTCAGGATTTTTTGGGGTCTCCTTTAGCAAGCTGTTGACTTGTTTTTCTTGATTTTCTTGCATCACTCTCATTTCTCTTCCCAGTTTTTCCTCTACTTCTCTTACCTGCTTCTCAAAATCTTTTATGAGCTCTAACATGGCCTGAGACCAATTCATATTTTTCTAGGAGGCTTTGGATGTAGGAGCTTTGACTTTATCGTTTTCTTCTGGTTGTATATCACTTCAAGTTTTACAAAGCACTTTGCTGGCTATTCATTTAATCTTCCCCATAACCTTCTGAAGTAGATGCTATTATTTCTCATTATATGCCTAATTTTGGAGGGGAAGAAACTGACCTGTGCAGGGGTGGAGAGGGGACAGTTAAGTGAGTGAGGTAAGATCTGGACTCCCCTGTTCCTGACCCCACTTGTCTGGAAGGTTGCATGTATGTAAGTCTTAAAGGAGGGCAGGGCGGGCATTCCACATGTGGGCCTTATATGGGGATATGGCCCAGAGCGCAGTGTCTAAGGAGCAGCAAGAAGGCCCATTTGACCATACTGTGTTTCCCTGTTTCTCAAACTTGTCCACAGCAGTAAGTTAAACAAACTTTGGCAGAACTCTTCTAGTAAAATCTTCTAATATTATTACTATTATTATTTTAAATATATTTTTGTTTTTTTCTTTAAATATTTCCCAATTATATGTAAAACATTTTTAACATTCATTTTAAAAAAATTTTGAGTTTCAGATTCTCTCCCTCCCCTACCCCACCTCTTAAGACAAGCAATGTGATGTCAATTATACATGACATGCAAAACATATGTCTATATTAGCCATAACATTATTATTTTTAATGCTTGTTATTAAACAACATAAGATTCATTAAAAAAAAAAGACCAAATTTGAGGTGTTTTATGGTTTCCCACAGCACAGTTTGACAAGCATTGTTGTTGAGTATGGAAAGGGAAATAATGTATAATGAATGAGTTTGGAAAGATAGGTCAAGACTAGCTTGTGAATAGCTTTAAAAGCCAAACACAGGAATTCATTTCTGATCCTAGATGCAGGAGGGCACCAATAGAGTTTGAGTAGGGGAATTGACATGGTCAGAATTTGCTTTAAGAAAATCACTTTTGTGTCTATATGGAGGGTAGGTTGGAAGGAAGAAATATGGAGAGACCAAATAAGAGGCTATTTTAATACAGTAGCATAGCTTAGCACAGTGTCTAGCACATAGTAGGTACTTAATAAATGTTTATTGAATTGGATTATCATAGTCAAATGCCACTTAAGTGGCTTATTCAAGGTCATACAGCTAATAAGGGATGGAACTGGAATTAAACACTGCATTTTCTGATTATGGTGACTTTTCTTTGAAAATCTAGAACATGTAAATCTATTTTCTAAGGAATCTCATTTCAGTGACAATGACAGACTGGGTATCTTTCCAAGAGGATGTGCTCTTATTTTCACTTCTCCAGTGAAAGAAAAGTTCAACATTTGTTACAAATAGCATCATTTTCCATTTGTTCTATCCTTGCCGAAGACTGTCTCAGTTATGTATTTCATTATGTTGAAGAAGATTCCCCAAGAATCCTGGGAAGCAGATTCCAACATTTCTGTTTCCTCTTCTCTATCACATATTGTTAGAAGTATATATTGGAAGCAGAGCTTTAGTAGTTAGGAGCCCAAGGAGATGAGATCCAGTATGAACTCTATTAGACTCTTCCACAAAACACTCACTGGTTGCCCTGCTTAGTAACATGTGTCCACTTTGGATCTCTCACAGCACTTGGCATTGCACTGTGGTGTAGTGGACAGAAGGCTATACTTGAGTGAGGAGAGATCTGGGCTTGTATCCTGCCTCTGACACCTTGACCCGGGTAGGTCCCTTCACCTCTCTCCACCTCAGTTTCTCTTCTCTTCTCTTCTCTTCTCTTCTCTTCTCTTCTCTTCTCTTCTCTTCTCTTCTCTTCTCTTCTCTTCTCT